TTTCGAATTCACCTACAATTTCACTGCTCCTGACCAAGTCGGCACTCATTGGTAGTAAGTATTTATGAGACCAAAAAAAAAATCATTTGAACTCCTATGTACTCACTGTTTATCTATAATATTTCTTTAGCCATGCACATGAAACGTTGCAATATGTTGATGGAGTTTTTGGCCCGTTAAGTAAGTTATTTAATTATTTAATTTAAATCGACTTTTTTTTTTAAATCTAATTCCTTATGACTTCTCTATTTAATTTATTAGTTATTCACGATCCTGATGATCCGTATAAACCGGAATATGATGAGGAAATTATTGTCATGTTGAATGATTATTATCACACCAATGCACAAGTTTTATTAAAACAATTCTTAACTCCTGAAAGTAAAGGAGAAGAGGTAAATTTAATGTTCTAAAGCTTAATTCGAAATTCTTAAATTCATATTAATTCATTCTCGTTATATTATAATAGCCAGGTAAGAAGATTTGATATAAGTACAAAGGTATGACCACGTGATGCTAATTAGAACGATTCCTACACCTACAGTTCCCGATAACGGTTTGATCAATGGAAAAAGTAATTTCGATTGCTCCAAGGCCCCACCGGGTTCTAAATGTGTGGACAATGCCGGTCTTGCTAAATTTGAATTTGTTCAAAATAAAAAATATCGTCTTCGTATCATTAATACTAGGTAATCTACATCATCGTATTATACAATTCAAAAAAAAAATTTTTTTTTTGAAGTGACGAGCGCTTTGATTTTTCTAGCGGATTTTCTTCATTCCTCTTTTCTATTGATAAACATGAAATGGAAGTTATAGAAGCAGACGGTCTCTATACTAAACGAAATAAAATCCATCGTCTTCCCATCAATGTCGCTCAAAGATATTCTGTTATTGTTACTGCAAACCAACCTGCCGATAATTATATAATGCGTGCTGAATTTCAAAAGAAATGCATGCCAGATGCTGCAGCTAGTCTTCCTATTATGAAAGCTATAGTGCATTATGAAGGAGCCCCCGATAATCTTGAACCAAAAGATAATCCATGGTCAGATTCCTTGGCAGAATGCGTTGATCTAGATCACAAGACTTTACAACCACTTCAAGAAGAAAAGATTCCCGAATCAACGAAAAAATTGGAACTCAACATGGGTTTTCATAAGAATGGAACAGGAGTTGTTACAGCTTTCCTTAATGGATCTTCTTATGTACCCGATTTAAATTTTCCGAGTTTAGATAAACTCTTTAAAGGGAAACCAATTGACGAACGTAGTGCAAATGCCTATGTTTTTAATAAAGACGGAGAAGTAGTTGATATTTATTTCATCAGTAAGTATAATTAACAATTGTATAAGAATTTTCAATTTTATGACTTTATTAACCAATATTTTTT